GAGGGAGGGAGGAAAGATCGAGAGAATGAGGGAGGAGGGAGGAGAGAGAGAGAGAAGGAGGGAGGAGAGAAAAGATCGAGAGAAGGAGGGAGGGAGGAAAGAGAGAGAGAGAAGGAGGGAAAGAGAAGAGAGAAGGAGGGAGGGAGGGAAGAAAGAGAGAAGGAGGGAGGGAGGGAAAGAGAGAGAGAGGAGGGAGAGAGAGAAGGAAAGGAGGGAGGGATAGAGAGAGAGAGGAGAGGGAGGGAAAGAGAGAGAAGAGAAGGAGAGAGGGAGGGAAAGAGATAGAAGGAAGGAGGAAGGGAAAGAAAGAGAAAGAAGTAGGGGGAGGGAAAGAGAGAGAGAGAGAAGTAGGAGGGAGGGAAAGAGAGAGAAGAAGGAGGAGGAAAGGAAAGAGAGAGAGAGAAGGAGGGAGGAAAGGAAAGAGAGAGAGAGAAGGAGGGAGGGAGGGAAAGAGAGAGAGAGGAGGAGGAGGGAAAGAGAGAGAGAAGGAGGGAGGGAGGGAAAGAGAGAGAGAAGGAGGGTGTGAGGGAAAGAGAGAGAGAAGGAAGGAGGGAGGGATAGAGAGAGAAGGAGGGAGGGAGGGAAGAGAAGAGAGTAGGAGGGAGGAAGGAAAGAGAGAGAAAGGAGGGAGGGAAGGAAAAGAGAGAGGGAGAGAGAGAGAGAAAGAGGGAGGAAGGAAAGAGAGAGAGAGAGGAGAGAGGGAAGAGAGGAGAAAAGGAAAGGAGGAGGAGGGATAGAGAGAGAAGGAGGGAGGGAGGGAGAGAGAGAGTAGGAGGGAGGGAGGGAAAGAGAGAGAGTAGGAGGGAGGGGAAAGGGAAAGAGAGAAGAGGAGGAAGGGAGGAAGGGAAAGAGAGAAGAGAAGAGAGAAGGAGGGAGGAGGGAATGGGAGAGAGATGGAAGGAGGAGGGATAGAGAGAGAAGGAGGGAGGAGGGAGGAAAGAGAGAGAGTAGAGGGAGGAAGGGAAAGAGAGAGAGAGAAGGAGAAGAGAGAGAAGAGGAGGGAGGGGAAAGAGAGAGAGAGAAGAAGAGAGGGAGGGAAAGAGAGAGAAAGGAGGGAGAAGGAAAAAAGAGAGAGAGAGAGAGAGAGAGAGAGAGAGAGAAGATAGAGAATAGAGAAAGAGGGGGATAGATAGACAGATAAGTAGATAGAACGATAGAGATTAGAGAAAGAGAGAGAGAAGGGGAGTTACAGTTAGGCTACTTTTGAATTAAGTCGTTTCCTGCAAAAGCATATTCAGTTACGACAGTCGTACATTCCATCGTTTTTTACGAAAACAAATACTCATCAACTATGCACGGAAGAAAAAAAACAGTTCCTTTCGTGGTGATTAAAAAAAAAAAAAACACCCACAATCCCCCCCCCTCAAAAAAAAAAAACAGTATCCACATCAGCGCCCACCAAAAGCACTACTCTCCCCTCGCAAGCCCCGCCCGCAGCCGCACCTGTCCGCACGCCGAGAGAACCATCGTCCTGGTGGCGTTGGTGGCGGCGTCCCTCCACACATGGCGTCCCATCGGGTGGAATCTCCGGGCGGTCCTCGCGGTGGCCAGGACCTCGCCGTCGCTGTCCAGGAGCTTCAGTTCGGTCCCGCTCGCTCCGTCGCCCACGATCTGACGTCCGTTTTGGGAGAGGAATACCGGCCGTGTTCCGCGAGTGAGCAGGAAGAAGCGGTCGTCGTAACCGGCTGGTCCGCTGTGCCGGAGCTCCACGTATGATGACCAGGGCACCTAAGCGAGGGAGATGGATTGGGTGGATAATGGAATGTTATTTGTGTTTTCTGTCTTTTGTTAAAATGTCAGAGTGGGTATTGGTAGTTAAAGAGGGTTATGGGGTCTTGATGTGTTGAGGAATTGAAAGGATAAGCTGTAAATTCTACAAAATACCATATTGCGAACAGGTATACAGCATGGTTCGCATCACGCCATTTATGCAAGATATGAAAGCATGAACACCTGAAAACAACCCACGAGTAATTCTATTCTAAACAGACCTACGAGACCACATCCTATTGATAAATAATTTTAAAATACAGCATAGCAACATGAAAATACAGCACAACAGCATAAAATGTAGACCCAACACACACTTCGCAAAGCAGCTGCCGAGACGTGTGTCCGCAGCCGATGGACATGTCGAGAGCAACGTCCTTCCTGGCTTGGATGCCCAGCGACCTGCACGTCTTGTTGCCGTTCGATTTAATCCACGTAAACAGCATCAAGTCAGGTAGGGTGTTCATCACCTGCAATGGTAAAGGTTCTCAAAATCTGGAACAATTTAGATGAGTGTTGAAGAAGAAAATACCAATGTACGTAAAAGCTGTTCATTTATGCTTAACGTTTTCTCCTGCCATTTTATCAATGCGAAATTGTTATGCAGACTGATGTACGTGATATACTGAATAATCATATGGCTGTTGCTTATAATCTTATTTTATACTGTTTAATCTACTGTATTTTGGAGAACAAAGAATTTCAATGAATATTTTGGAGTAAAATTTCA